TAGGGAGGAGTTTAAGCTTTTCATTAAGCTGGTAGTGCCGGTGTTTGTCTGCCTTGTAGAGTTTTAGGCGGCTGACTGAGGCGTATTCACGGCAAAAGGCTTCAGCCTTGCTTCTATGTCCTTATAGGGTTTTATTGTTTTCTGTGAGAGCACTGCCGGTGGAGGGGGTTTTCTTGCCTGAGATGGCATTTATGACTCGGAAGACTTGTTGAGGGTCAGTCGAGAGGGACATCTCTGAGATAAAGTTGCGCCAACAGTCGCGCTTCATCTCGTTTAGGCGGGATGTGGTTCTTTTAGACGCCTCCTGGTAGTTTTCAATGTATTCTCGTGTTTTGGTTGCCATGGATTTTTTTTCTTAATTGCACTTTTTCTTCTATCAGTTTGTCCACTTCTTCATTCCAGAAGGGTTTAGGAAGTTTACGAGCGCCCTTGGGGATACTTTGTTAGGCTGCTTTTAAAATGGCCTCAGTTAGGCACGTGTTTTTTTGTGGCGTCCGTCATGTTAGGCATGTCATTTGCCAAAGTCTCTGTTTCCATGTGGGCATTGAACAACGACTAGTCAGCTTTCTTGAAGGACCATTTGGCTTTGCTCCTACGGGTGGGGGCAGAGTGTCTACAGAGTTTTATTTCGATGGCTTTGTGGTCAGAGACCAGGGTGTCACTGGTTTTCCAAGAGACATAAGCAACCTGTGAAACATGACAGAAGGAAATATCAGGGACTGTTTTGAACATACTGCTCGGGTCGATTCTTGTTTCGCAGCCGTCATTGAGGGCAATCATATCATTGTCGAGGGCCCAGTCATCAATTTCTGTTCCGGTGGCACACTGGTCGACGTAAGGGTCCCACGAAGGGTGATGGCAGTGGAAATCGCCTACGACGATGGTGTTTGCATCAGTCTTGAATACGTGGGGAACGAAGTTACCTTTGTGGCGTGGTGGGATGTACAGGTTGACGACTTTAAGGGTTCTGCCGGGCAAGTACAAGAGTGTGCCTACGAATTCCGTTGTGGAGTCGGGGTTGGCAACTACTCCATCATGGAATCGGTGGTAGGTAATACCATCTTTAATCAATGTCGCGACCCCGCCTCCATTGTTTCCGTCATCTCTGTCACTTCGTTCAATAGAGTAACCAGGCACACAAATGTCTATATTTGGGCTTAACCATGTCTCTTGA